GTGCAGTTTAAATAGACCGCCAGATTGGAAGAGTACGCTTGGTTAGTGATTATGGAGTGAGGCATGTCATGTGTGTAATCAGCGCAGCTCAAGTTGACTGCCTGAACTAGCTCGCAGTCAACGCTCCATTTAGCATCTTAGTTTAGAGCTTCAGGCAACTGTTTGGCCCACTATCCAGTGGTTTGGGTCATGGAGACACTGCGAAAAGACTAGCAGGAACACATAATCCTGAGGCAGTTTTAACTTACGGCGCCTGTTCTCCCACTGGGGCGCATGTCAAGTGTCCAGCATACCAAACCGGTGCAGTCGAGATCTCAGTGGGTCCGAGGAAAGTACCAGTTCACCTGAAACCTTTAGACATGCTCTGACACATAAACGGGCTTGTTGTACATATGGCACAGTGGAGTATCCAGTAGATCCTCTGGCATAAAAAAGAAACATTCTGCCATTACTCAGGTGTACTTTTTAAAATGGAACTTGTATGGATCATGTTCAGCAAACCCCTCACTTAGCATTTAGCTAAGAGTTCATATCTGAATACATTTTTTACTGCAAGCTGAGCCTTTACAACCCTGAATGAAACCTGACACCTGACGCTGCTGTGGTATGTGGGTATGGCTACTATGGTTAGCGTCATCAATTATCTCCAGTCTGAAGTCTGTCATCTAATATTAAGTCTCAGGCCTGTAATTGAGGTGTGATGTTCAATTCCCACGTTTCTTTCGCTCCTCATCTGATGAAGGGTGTGCCATCAGGTTTCCTGCAGAGACAAATTGCTGAAACGAAGTCCTTTTTATAAGTTGGAGCTCTTGGAAAGGTCAGTCATGCTTGAATTTGCTGCCGGCTCGATTGTTGCAATGCCCTTTTTTCTGACCTTTGCAGAAGAGATATTTCCTGTCGGCAGTTTGTGTGAAATGCTGCTGCCAGGCTTGAGTCAACTCTAAGAGGTACAATCACAATACACTAATCCCTGCTGCCCTTCACTGTTTGCCTCTGAGTTTTTATAATTTAAGATTTTATGATTTTTATGATTAATTGTGTCTTTAATTGTCCAGACACCTCTATGATCTCGGGCTCACATGTTAGTGCCCACTTTAATGTTCCTTTTTAAAACACATTACTTTAGATATTGTTTATTTTGAAAAGGGCTTTATAGATAAAGTTAATTGTTACCTGGTTATTAGAAGTAATGGGAACAGCTGTCATGTTTTAACAGGGAAAATTAGTGGAAGCATACTAATTATTCATTTAATATATGTACAAGCAAAGAAAATAACTAGCACATTTGTTCTTTAAATGAGCTCTCTCTTTTCAATGAGAGTCAAGACATTTTCAGAGGTGTATTCCATAAAATGACCATCCAACCTTTAATTTTTTTTTTGAAGACACTGTAACGTTTTAATGTTTAGGCATTAGGCATCTAGATATAAACTAAAAAAATAAGGACTGAAGGAAGGCTATGATATGCAACAAAGGCCCTAACTGGAACTGAACTGGGAATGTTGTGGTTATATGTTACAGTATGTAGTATTGTGTGTATATCACATCTTCTTCCTCTACCATAGAGCTCCATTGTTGTCCAAAAACTACTAAAAACCCACACTATTGCACTGGGTGACATGTTCCTTCATTACCATGAACACACAATCTCAATCCCGTGAATTAATCTGCTGCTGAAAATAGTCCCCCAAATATTGATTATTTCCTATTATTTGAAGTAACCTGATAAAAACTACAGCGACCAACTATTCTAGAAAACTACTGAGACCGTTTTTAAAGTAAAAGTATATATTTGTGAGCTCTTTATAAAAGATTTATATCTTCAATAGGAAAGAGTGGGCTTGGGGCTGAGAGCCAAGGACAGAGTAGAGTAGATGACAAATGCATTTATTGAGATTTGCTAACAAACTGAAAAATACAGTGGCCTTTAGCCACTAGGCTGCAGGATTTTAGTTTTTGATGTATCTACCACATGGAAATCAACAGATTATTTTCTTATACATCTGTATGATAAGCAGACATGTGTCAGAGCTCTTCAGGGAGTAACATGTAACTTTACAAATGAATGGCTTGCAGTACCACAATACATTTTACAGCTTGTTTCACATGTTCATTGCCAGTGTTCACTGCACAGCGGCGCACACTGGAACCTGCTCACATACCACTTATGTCGTAATACATTCAACAAACACAGTTAAAACAGTGTGGAGAGGTCTGAGAGGAAAACCATGGATTTTGGTGTCCTGTGGATGGTTAAAACTTTATTTGCATGTTGTGTTGTGGCTTAAAATGGTGTTTGTTTGTCGCTGTTCAGTTTTGTTTTAGGATCTCTGACCGCAGCACTCGCCACGCAAGCTGGTGTTTGTGCGTCAGTGTCACTGCCACAGATAAATTCTGACACGCCAAAGCCAGACAGTTCCCTTAGATACAAGCACAGAGAAATGACTTTCTTCTCTGTGACACAGAAACAGACTGCCTTTAATAATAGTAAGGACACATATTATTGCCTTGTTTTAAATTAGGGCCTAATAATGGACCTTATGCAAATATATAGTAGCTGTGAATTACAATGTTGGTAAGAACCATTCTAAAAGACAGTACCCACCCCAGCCACACCCTGCTGCCGTCTGACAAGAGATACAGAAGTATCCACTGCCGTACAACCAGACTTCAGATCAGCTTCTTCCCTCAGGCTGTGAGACTTCTTAATTCATCCTCACCCTGTAGAATAGTTTCTATTAATTATTATTTATTTACCCATCTACTACATATAATTACTGTATATAAACATTTGTTTTTGGGAGTAGCATAAGGGGAACTATAATGTAGTCTCCTTATATAACCCTGTGTAGTAAAATGATATATCAATCAGTCCCAGTACAGGCTTGGAGGTATTAAGATGCGCATTTAAATCCACACTAGAATGGGTTAAATGTGTATCAAATGCAGTCTGTCTCAGGTTAAAAATGTCCCTCACATGATCTTGATGTGATGATGCAATGTCTGTAGAAAATTGTTGTAGGTACTTCAAATTCGCAACTGTAAAATAATCAGACTCACAATTATGTTTACTCACTGCAACTGATGGACTTTTCTTTAATTTGTTCATTCACTCACTTGCTCACAAGCCAGTATCATTCAGTGGGCTTTGCTTTACAACAGTGGTTCCCAACCTTTTTACTTAAGGGAGCCCTTTCTATCGTTAAGTAAACTAACCACCCCTGACTAAGTGACATATTTTTTGGATATTGACATTACAGAACAACTGATGAACTGTGGAATGAACCCAAATAGGGACCACAATAACAGAAACTTTATGTAAAATGAGCAGTTTGGATGAATTTTGAGCAGACTCATTCCTATAAATATTACAACAGAGGTGAGTTTTCTGTTGGTTTTAGGAACATTTTCTACAATTCTCTGTCTGTATTGTCAACAATCAAGCATACTATCTTAGCAAATAATTTAATTTAGTTTTCTTCATGGAATTAGATAAGATGCTAACCTAAGAAATATACACAGTAGGCCTATATTACTGTGTATATTTCTTAGGTTTTCTTACACCCATTAAAATCAAGAAGGGCTTGCAACCCCCAATGAAGCTTTGGTGACCCCTAGTGGGGGTCCCATATTTTTCATAATATTTTACAGGTGTATTATTCGAATTGTAGCCTCTATTCAGTTGTGTGAATGTGAATAAGTGATCAGACACTGTACAACTAATGCTTTCCCAGTGAAAGATGAAAGGTGCTGACATGTCTGTTGCGTCCTCAGGGAGACAGGGGAGACACTGGGCTGACTGGTGCTGCTGGAGCTCAAGGTGCCCCGGTAAGTTGATGCTGATGGCATGTAGTTGCTGTCTGTATTAAGGTAGGCTGCATGATGTAGTTTTACAATGTAAACATTTATTTGAAAATGAAACACTACTCTGTAACAAATATGCAGCAATTATGACAGATGACAAAATGACAAAGATCAGTATATTAATTCAGGTTATTAGAAAGTGTTAGAGCTGCTGATGAATGCAGAGCATAATCACAGAACATAACTCCTGTTAACTCAGCATTCTGTGAATATAACAAGCAACTAGTTTTTAAATGGTCCCATAAAGGTTGGAAGGAAGGAGTAATCAGGACATAAACATGAGAGCTTGGATTCATTGCTGCTTTTACACACTGCTGTGTGCTAGTAAACTCACTGCCCACACACACAAACACACACATTGCATGTACACAAGTGCACACACTAGGACACAAAGAATGGGAAAAGCTGCTGTGTCGGCACACGGGCAATGAGCAGTCAGGCTTGATTAACTGTCGAAGGAAATCAATTAACCTGGCAACAATATTGGTTTCTATCTCTGTTACAAGACTGTTTCTCATGGTTTGTAATTGTGCATAGCACCAATTCTCTAGTTACTTGAGTTTTTAGAGACTTGAACCTGGACCAATCACTTTGGAGCCAACAACCAGTTTTTTTTAAACCAGGAAGCTGTATTCTACCTGAAACAGAGATATAATTCATGCTTCATTGTTGGTGTTACTATATTTCTGTTTAAACCAAGCTGGAACCAGAATGCTTTGCAAAAAAGTCAATCAAATCCAGTAGAAAATAATCTTTGACCTTATTTTCCATAGTTAGAACAAAGACACATCTGATCATCCTGTGATGTTTGTTGTAAAAGCCACAGTTATCATAACTGCTGGAGGCCACTGGAAATGCCATCATATTAAAAGGGCTCGCCGCAAATTTTAAATGTCAAAGTCAATTCACTAGCCACTAGAAGTACTACTGCCTGTAATAATGGTTGTGTAATGTCCTCTGTGATGTCATCAGAGACAGCAGCAGAAAAACCTGCTTCACTTCACACTGAACCACACTCTCGAGACTCATTCAGGGCTCCCCAGAGGTTGATGGGCCTGAAGTATTTATTTGATTCATGCCTTTCATTTCATTTTATTCAAGCAGGCTATGATTAAGGCATGTACATCCATTTACCTTATTATTTACTTCGACCACATTTATGAACATTGTAACATTATGTATATATGACATAAAATAAGGGAAAGCATAAAAGGTCCTCTTAAAAGCAGGCTGCATTATGCTCACACTACAGTAACTCACAGGAGATACGTCTGGAGCAGCATAGGTACTGAAATGTGTTCAGCAGAATGTGTACTAGATATTTCTTCATTTAAAATTTACATAAAGTACTATATGGAGGTCATAGAGGTTGCTGCTTGTGCAATACAAGCTCAGTTCTGCCTTGATGTATTCCATGCTCTGTACAGACTGCTTTGTAGAACAAGCATTTTTTTTCCTCTGGGTATGCTGTCAGTTCAATGCACTTTAATATCAGGCAGTGAAAAAAGACAAAGGTTTAATCATATGGGAAGCCACCACCTAAAAGGCTGTTCTTTGGAATAACAGAACTGTTGAATGTTATGTTCCATGTGTATGTGTGAAATGTTCACACTTTTACGTCCTGTGTCTCTTAATACCAGACTGCTAAACTCATCAGTGTTACATCCCACAACCACACACTCACACTTTATGAGAGGCAGTGTGTAAAGCAAAGCACACACACAGATATACACATGTATTACTCATTCACAAACTGGGGAACTTGTTTTTCCTGTCTCTGCTAATTACACAGCCTTCAGTACTGATATCCAGACACCCACTCTATTTAAAATACAGTGGACACCCATGTCAACATATGCATATGAACACACAGACTTTCATAGGTCCACAGCAGCAGACAGCATTGCGTGCAGAACAGCTCCCCACTGCATTCCAAAGCCAAACCCTCTCTTCCTAATCAAGCTGATGTTTAAATGAAACGTGGGGAAACAAAAACTGTGAATGCAGGTTTTATTATTGTAAATAGTTTTACTATAATACATTGTCCCAGTTGTAATTGCCTTGTAACAGAGGCTGATAAAATGGAGTACAGTGAAAACAGTGCACTATATAGTAAGTAGGGAGTGGCTTTGTCTGGACCGGCCCCATTTTCCCCCAACCTACACCCTGAGTTACATAAAGCAATATCAGGCTTTTTAGGATATGAGAAGGACTTTTGCAGTGCCACTTTGTGACATAACCAGGGCTTAATCCTTCAAAAAATGTATTTGTAGTCATGTATCCATCAACATATTTTTACGCGCATTAGAAAAGGTTGATGGAAATGGCAAAATCTGATATATCAATTTCTCGAAATACTTGAGCAAAAAAGCTTATAAGTTCTGAAATACCGTATAGGGCGGATCAGCTGTTTCCCCTCTGACCATCTTTTCACTGTTTGAGGTTCAACTGGTGCTTTTGTAATTACGTCATCTTGTTGCGCCTTCTTGTGACTCTTTGACTGGAGAATTGGCACAACCTTATCTCAGTGAACCAACTAATAATAATCATATAATGGTAGTCGATGGAAACAACGATCAATTTATTAAATCATTGTTATGCATGCCAAAATTTCTACTGTGTTATTTACTGTAACATCTCATGTTAGAACTGGAAACTAGCTTATACAAGACGTGTTTTCACCCGAATGAATTGCACATTTCCACAGAATTTCGAGTAAATCTCCAAAAGAAATGTAAATTAAGGCTTATTTGAAACTGGAATTGCAGCAAAGAATGATACGTTTCTAAAGCTTGTTAGATTGACTTCACAACATTTTGGACTGACTGAAATCCTGAACTGATTCACAGCTGTCAAAAATTCAAAGTGCTTGCTCTTCTTTGTTATTTACTGACGCTGCCTCGTCTGGCCTCTCGGTTCGTCTGTCGTCCTACCCCTTCCCTGTTCTGCCCTCTGCTCACCTCGGGGGGAGGTATGATGGTGTTTCGATAACCAGGTTTTGTTAAAGACAGCTCACATATCCACATCCATCCACACACTTGCGGGCATGCTGATGAGAGATTGATGAGTAAGATGAATGTTACGATGCAGGGCCCGCTTCACTCTAATGTGCTATCACTCTGCATCCTTGTTTTCACCGGAAAAACAGATGCATCTCATACTTTTAGTATCACCTGGAGATCTTCTCAAGTTAGTAACTAAAAAGCCACTCAACACTGAAATCTGACATTAATTCCACATCACCTTCCTCCAGGATCAGGCAAATCATTTTGACAAAATTAAAGTAGTCTATTCGGCTGTTCTAACATTAAATTGAGACACTGAGAAACATATTTTACAGACAGATAGATGAGAGGATGAAAGAGAGTACACAGGAAGTCTTTTTGATGTTAGCAGAGAGAAAGCCCCGATGTTGTTACCGAAGTAAAGCCACCATGTCAGACGCCCGCTGATATCTGGATATATCAGACTTATTTAAACCCCAAGGATTACACTTAGTTTACTTTTTACACATGCACACACATCAAACTTATCTTTAGTGGGATCATCAGTGCAGGTTCACATAGTCTGAATCCAAAGCACTTTGATCCTCCAGCATAATCCATTAGTTTTTGCATGATAGGTAGGGAATCTTCAACAGAGCTGCTTTTCCAAAGACTTTAACCATCACTGGAGGCTAACATCTTAATGCATGACATGACAGGACATAGCATAATGTGACCCCTATTCATATTCATTTAATAAAGTTATATCAGTAGCATCTCCTGACTTTACAAGACAGTCCAAATTGTGGGGATAAACTTGCCAAGACATAAAAATAGTAACAGACGGGTTTTCTCTAACATCAGTGCACATTGAGTTGACATTTCCATCAGTGTGTTTGGAGGTGGATTTTAAATTTGAAAGAAATTAAAACAGAACCCTAACCCTAACCAGAAATAAAAAGAAAGGAAAGACACTGCAAAAAGTGCATAGTGAGTACTTTTTGCCACACTATATGGTTCCATGTAAGCAGCACTATACAGTTGTGCAAGCAGTATAGCGTCTACCTATGATGGGGCATTTAAACGCTCAGAATACAGATAAAATACATCAAAACATTCCCTCTGAAACTGGGTTTAAATCTCCACAAAGACATTATGTAATCTTGTAAATCCACGTTGTCCACAGGGTGCCCAGGGACCACCTGGCGAAGCAGGCCCAAAGGGACCTCAGGTAATATGTGACTTGCGAGTCACTTGTCAGAATTGTTGGTGGCTTAAAGTCATTCCAATCAGTTGTTTATCTTCTGTGTTCTTGATTGTCTTTTTAGGGAGATATTGGGTTGCCTGGGCCACAAGGACCACCTGGAATAAAAGGAATGCCGGTTGGTATAACATCAGCCATCTTTCAATCGTCTTCAGCATGCTGAAATGATTCCTCAACATTCTGCATGACAATACCTATATACAATATTCCATTAAGCTGTCAAGTACTGAATGGTTTACATGTCAGAAATTATCAGAACATGTGTTGATGATTTATGTGTCCCTTTTTGTGCCCGCCTACAGTATGAAAGCTAATGAGAACTTGCGTACATGTTTGATTGATTAGTTGCTCACATAAGTCAAGTTGTAGTCCACCATGGCCAGACACACATGGAGCCTAAATAGACTTACTGTTGGATCCATATATTAGCTCTTTTGTGCGCCATGTTCACAAAGAAAGATAGAATAGAACACATAATTTTGATGGGGATTGTAATAGACATGGAGATATCCAGGATCCAGATCTAACTTGACTTGAACTTGAACCTGACCTTCACCTGGGGGATGGATTCCTAGTATTGGTACCTTGTTTTGTTTCGACAAACACAATTGCCCATGTTTGCAGGTAAAAAGCATGTGCTCCTTTCTGTTGCACTAGTATATCCTGCTGGTTTGTCGCAACACCTGCACAGTGGAGGGTGAAACCTTGGGGGACAGCATGTACCTCCCCTGCATCAAGGTCTCAGTATGCTTTAAACAAAGTGTTTTTCAGATCATTTAACAGCATATGAAACCCCCTGTTCGAATGTAACCTTGCAAAGCAGCCGGACTCGCAAGTTCATGAAATCACAAAACCATGCGAGAATCCATCTTGCCAGGCTTTAAGCCATGTGCTAGTGTCCAACCAAAGTGGTACCGAACCAATCAGCATCTTACAAGGATCTACTGGCATGAGCTACATGTGTGGTTTAACTCTTGGTATGTGTGTGAGTTTGAGAAGGGACTATTTGCTCGAAAACAACAATGGCAGCTGCTAAAAAAGTTAGTAAAGATGCAGCTAGGATCAGTTATATCAGAACTAGAGAGTGTTTCTTCATTGAAAGAAGAGCAAAGAACAGCACTGAAGGTTCTTCTCGATTGAGAAGATGTTTTCAGTCTTCTCCAGACTGGATTCGGTGAGAGTTTGACTACGTTCGTTTGATTGGTTGAAATTCGCTCGTGATAGACAGTATTTTTGAAAGTGCTTGCCCTTTTCCAAACAGTTTCCAATGATAATGTCCCAGGTGGTTCTGTGTAACAAACCATTTAGCGCATTCAGGTTAGTCTGAATGATCAAACGATTCGATAGGTGTGCCTAGGTATGAAAATAAGGCAAATGAACACATTGAATACACTTTTAGAGAAACTGTCTGCAAGTGTTTTATTAAACACTTAAATTTGCAAAATTTTTGTTAAGACTAAAAAACACATGCATGAGACAGAGCCGAAAGGCTATAATGACGGGATTTTTCCCTCATTTTTAAGTGTGACCCTTTGGAATCGCTTTCAACACTTTTGCTTTTAGACGTGGTTAGACATCCTACGACCTAGTTTGTTTGAAGCATATTGGGGCCTTTACTCCCTCCCGGCGAGGCTCTTTGCTGAAAGGTGAAAAGAAGCAGCTGGCAACATGAAAGTAGCACATGTCTCTCTGTTCCCTTCCTAACAGTAAAGTTAGCAATGACAAGGACTGTAGCACGTAGGGGATTTGGTACTCCAAACATCTTGAATAATAAAGCCTATTGGCTGTTGGCGGTGGAGGAAGGACGTTTGGTCAAATTTTAACTTTTTCACAAGAAACTACTACTTTCAGCCCACATGGGCTTGCCACGACGGATCATGTTACTGATCCTAGTTCTTGTCCATGCCTATTTGGCCCACATTTAACCCATACAGGACCCATACATTTAAATTTCCTGTTGTTACCTATGTGACAGGTCCACCCGTTTTCACATTTGTCTTTGTGCAATGCAGTCTTATCTCCTGCACTAGAATTCCACACATAAAAGTGTTCACATTACCGTCTCTGCGGTGGGCTCATAATGAGATCATTAATTTAGCCAAGGCGCCATATGAGTCCATTTGGTTTATTTAGTAGTGCCATTAAGGCATTGAGTGGCTGTTAATTTAGAACCAGAGTCAGATGAGTTTGTGTGGGGTTACGGCTGGACACACAGTAAGGGCACCCCCCTCTGGTAAACAAGATTACACACGGCCAGATGCAATTACAGCAGAGCACTATGAGTACACAGTCCTCTATGGTGATCACTGGGCTGTATGTTTATAGCTATACTGCTCTCGGGTGGTCAAAATGTGACAGTGCAACATAGATAGAGTGGGTAAAGGTAAGGAGAGTGAATAATGGCTGGAAAGGCATTTAACACATTTGCATTGTGGAAACCTGTTTAGTTGAAATGTTGGATGGTCATAGAACAACATATGAAACAGAAAATTATTCAGTATATTTCCTGTATCTTGATCCAACATATAAATACAATATGAAAACTGAATTGAATATGATTTGGTCTTTTTTTAAATATCATACTTTCTCTGTAGCACATAAAGCCTTGTGAAAAGCAGCCAAACACTGGTTTAGCCTGCTGCATGGATCTAAGTGCACAGAGGTCACCTTTCCACAACCACAAGCTTCATCCTTTAGTCTTCATCCCCTTCTTTCTATTCCTGTCAGTAGAACTGAACACTGCCGCGGTATGACGTTATGCCTGCAGTGGGTCTCTATCTGACACATGCGTACAGACACACGCATACACACAGGAGTCAGAAGGAGGAGGTGGGATGAGCAGTCGCTTGTATCTAGGCAACCACATACAATCGTACGATAATAAATATACGCAGAAGTCAAACTAATTGTCAGTTGACCCAGCCAACACCAATCAAATTTGGCATTTCGAATGTGCATACTCCTTGTTTGGCTCCTCAATCAATAAACACACAATGGTATGTTTCTCTTTGCTCAAAATGATGTATTTCACATCCCTATATTGTCATGATCACTGTGTTTCTGCCACAAGCAATCAGATTTATTATTGATTTTGTTAACATCTAATACGTTTGCTAACTGAAAGGGCTTCAAATGTTCAGTTGCAAATGTCAGCATCAATCATTTAAACCTTTTACTTTAGTTTTGAATTGTTAAAACTATGTCATGATCATAACAATATCTTAGCTTAGCCACCTAACTGAACTGAACATGTAACCAAGGTTAAAATGCACCTGATTCGACCAAGGTCTTAACCCTAGTAATGTGTCATTCATGAGTGAGTCTGCTCTATGAGTCAGCTCCTTTAAGCTCTTTTTTTAAATGAATACAAGACAGAATAATAGGATGATCCTATAACATATTTGCTCACATAAAAAACATGGCCCAATATAAATAAAATGCTCAATATGTATCTGTAATAGTGTTGTTTTCAAATTATTTAAAGTACTTATGCCAATCATGATGTAAAAATATGGTACAATTTAAAGTTTACTATAATTACATCAAATAATTTATGTGTAGCATATATTTGTACACATAGAGTACCAAGCATAGGTCAAAACATTGTGAAATTTGTCTGAATTATAAAAAGACAAAAGTTGTTTGGGAGCCAAAAGAGTTTGCTCTTATTACTGAGCTGAGCCAAATGATGTGGCTCGCTAATAAGAGCCAAAATTCTCATCACTAATGAACCCTGGGTCGAGCCCCGCCATCAATTACATTAACATGTACACATGAAATTATTTATTTGATTATTATTTACAACACTAAACTACATACCAATACAATATCAGTTACAGTTACTCAGTTAATCAAATACTTGATAAAAGCAAAATCCCCTGGATAAAGTGATGTGTTAAATATAATGAAAATAACCAATCCATCTCGCTAAGACCATGTGGAAACATACGTAATACAAACTAACTAATATTAACTGAAGTCCTCCATCAGACAGTGCTTGTCCAATTATAGCTTAGCAACTGCAACTTGCTAAGTTTCGGATTTCCTTAGCTACAGTAGTACCTGAGAGTTACTTCCAAGGCCAAGGAGCACGTTATTAACTAACCAAATTAGTTTTTTAAGGTTACAGGTTATATTAAAATACTTCATAACCCGGATATGTAGCATTTCGACCTTGTGGATGCTATCAGCGTTTAGGCAGTGTTACGAAGTTTCTTTATTTCCATGACCTCTACACACTTCATTAATTGGTGGAGGATGCTGACTTTTTACCCGGGACATTAGTCTCAGTCTTTAAGTGCGATATCATGTATGTAGCCATCAAGTCATCAAGTGCCTCTTAATGTTTCCAGTCGACTCGTTTTAAAATGAGAAATCCTGTACAAGTCGTCCGAGACAGCGTTTTCAACCAACTCATCAAGCTAGCTTAATTAGCTAGGTAGCTTCATCTACAGCTACACCTCTGTCTGACATCAAGGACCCATTGTTCAGAAATTGCTCCAAATTTGAAGTGGGAAATGTGCAAAGCGTGCAAGTATGCAAAAGTAGGCATGCACGAGTGTGTGTGTGTGTGTGTGTGTGTGTGTGTGGACCTGAGCCATCTCATTTTTCCCTCACTGCCTCCTGACTAAGCCGTCACGCACACTGTCACATTCAGCCCAAAGCACTGTGTCTGTCTCTTTCATCTCATTCTCTCTCTCCCTTTCATTCCCTCCCTCTTTCGTCCCTCCCCTTTCCCTCTCCCCCTCTCCCCTCTCCCCTCCAATATCTTTGTCTGTCCAGGGAATCCAGGGGCCCCAGGGGCCGCCCGGAGAGATCGGCCGAGATGGTCCCAAGGTCTGTGCGTTGAACGTTATAATTAGTTATTATGCTAATGGCCTGCTGCTCCCCAGCCACTCGGCTATTCTCAGCCTGTTCTAATGTTGTACCCTCCCTCCCTGTTTGCTTGATGTTCCCGTAGAGAAAACTGCATTTTGCTCAGACGGAGTCAACTTTTTTGGAATCAAATTGTAGGTGTTTCTGAATATGTGATAAATGCCAATCCTGACAAGCACGGTTCATATTTGGACTGTTGGAGTGTGTATTTATCTCCTTTTTTTACTCTTTTTTTAGTTTTACTCTTAGAGATTCATGCAAAGTGAGGTTTTGCAATATTTGACTTAATTATGGGTCTAATTGCAGATTGAAGGGGTACTCCAGTGATTTGTTGTTGCACTTTTGCAAAGTAAGGGAATTTGCAAGAGACAAATTAAAACAAGAATGGTTGAAAGCAAAGCAACAGACACTGTGATACCCCAACTTTTAGCCCCAAAACGCTGCAGAAATGACAATTTCAGGGCTCTGTTTCTTTGTCTTTGCAATAAGTAGCACAAAGGGCAGGAGGACATGTTAATATTTCCCTGACCTTGAAATGCACAATTTGTATACTCGGTGCAGCACGCATGGCACAAAGATGGAAGGAGAAGCGGGAGTGAAAGATAAGAGTCTCATGCATATGATTAAGATTAATAATTAAGGTGATTTGGTCACTCAGTAAGCATACATGTATAAATAAACTGATAACATAAATAAACACAAATAAATACATACCCTAACTAGTATATGAATTTAGATTGCTCGTTTTAAATGTGACTTAAATCCCAGTAAAGCAGCCTGTACTGAACTAACGATTCTCACCAGTCTGTTTTATCTGCACCTGCTTTCACACCTGCATGGAAAGTTCCCTATCAGCTGATTAAATCCCTGCTGAAGTCTGAAGGCTGTGTGTTCCATCTGTAGCTGATAATTGAAGACGTATGAAAAGAACAGCACTATCACACACAGTGATCCACCGTGGTTACCTGGATTAAGTCATGCATAACCAACATCAGGCTGCTGCAAAAACAACTACACAAACCAAGCTGTAGCTCGGCACACATCAGACTGGTTGGATACAAGTTTGCGTCTTCCTGGGCATCCACAAACACCAGAGAACAGCAGCATCTGTGTACGTCATGGCTTTCTTACCAGCAGTTTAATTTTAGGTTTAAAAATTATGGCAAACTAAAATTATGAT